ATGCATTAATATGTAAACAGCATTGTATTGTCTGGTGGAGGTGGAGCTAATTGGAAATGTTGTGGTAACACTTTTCCCCCTATATGTTGCATTGAATAAAATGCAGATTTAAGAACATTTGTAAGTGTTTATCAATGTTTAGCATGAGTTGTAATATATTGTCATTCATGTATTGTCATTTGCCTTTCACGTCACACACAGAGGCTTTATGGGAGATCAGTGTAGGCTTTAAATGAATGTATAATGTTCAGTTGTTATATAGTATTTAGACCTTAAGAACAGTAGAGGGAGCTGTGTCCTAATATTACAACGCCTGTGTGTGTCTGTGCAGTTATGTGCCATACATACCACGTAAACACTTAGTCCATCATGATTTTTTTCTAATTTAATATTTCTCCAGGATCCTAGTCTTTTAAGTATGCTGGTTTTTCAGTTTCCCAAATGTGGGTTTTAAATCTCTTTTTGATTCTCGTAAGTTAATTGACTGGTTTATTCTCTTTCTTTTTAGTCTCACAATTTCTCGGCACACAACCACATGCCGAGAAAGATTAATGTCGAGAATCCACTGGAAGCCTTACTCGTTCTTCTTCATGAGGTGAACTAATTAGGCAATTAGCTGAAACTCATTAGACTCAAAGACAAGTTATTTTAGTTGCAAAAGCGTTGTATGAGTGTGTTCGCAGGGTGCTCAGTGCTTTGTGAAATTGATATGTCATCGAAATGTCAGAGGGGTTATAATTTGTGTGGTTTAATCTCTACAGGTTTAATAAAGAAGGAGAGGAGAATAGGACATTTCATCATCTAATTTTGTACTCCAGTAAACCTTCTCTAGTATGTTGATTTGTAGGAATGTGTTGTATTGAATTTCACAGGCAAACATATAACATAATATTGGAATCTCCTCTCACTGCTCAGACATATTTAATAAAGCGGATGGAGCACAGCTACATAGTGCTCTATCCATTATCACTTTCTGCCTTTTTTTGCAGCCTCTCTCCTTTACCAACGGTTGTGTGTATTGGGTTTCAAAGTGCTTGCTGACTGTGATTATTCACGAAAATATACTGACTGCTTCTGAGCTGTCAGGTCAGCAAGCTGTTCTTATTACCTCCTGTCAGCATGGAGTATTATTTATTTATCACAACATATCTTGTGTTTTTATTCAGAGCAAACAAATAAATATACATGTAGGAAGCTCACTGGTGATATTCAGGTCAGGTTCAGGTTATTTAATTGTATTTTACTTGTAAATGCAGTAAAAAGACAAGATATCCATCATGATCAAAGACGGTTCAAAGAACACAGAAAACAGACAAATCCCTAAGACTCCAGCACATTAAAAACAACCACAACAAACATGTGGATTTAACATCTTAGTTAATTCTACTCGACAACTGCATACAATGCTGAGCAAATTCATGTTGATTAGCCTTTGAGAAGATGTCCTAATTATTCAGCTGTAATAGGTTAACTACACTCTGTTATAGTCTTACAGCAATAGGTCAATATTTTTGGGAAATATGCAGAGAGTTCGATGAGAAGATCACTAGTATGTTTCCAAAGGTATTGGGAAGCTGGCCATTATTTCAATCTTGGTATAGTTCTTGTACAAAAAGAAAGCCAGATGAAGCGTGAGACATTTTTAGACAACTTTGCAACTTGTGCATCTGTCTAATCAATCCAATTAGAGTCTGAATCATGTCTTCACACTGCTGAGAGCACTAAACTGATTTTAAGGACATCAGTGTGTTTCCTGTAACAAACCACCGTCTGGCGCAGAGAGATGCTCTGAAGCAAAATCACATCAACAGCTGATGTTGTTTGTTGGAGCAACTCTTCTTCCAGGCGGTCACTTTCTGACAGGATCTGTTTAAGTCTTATACATGCAGCTTGTGTGTAGCACTATCCCAAGCATAATGAAGTATATCGTACCTTATCTGATCTTAATTGGAGCAACCCCCTGGCTTTTTCATTGTCAGAATGATTTTAGGTTTAAATAAACACTGAAAGTAACCTAAAATCCATCTGTGGAAACAATTCCCCTTTTTCCTTTATAAAGTCTATGTTCAACATTGGTCTTAATATTAAATGGAAATGATTATATGTTGAGGACTCTTAGTTCTCAAAGAGTTAGAAAGGTAGATAGAAAACATAGTGCCAAGAGAAATATGAATAAAAAAGAAATAGTGCCTCTTGGCCTTACTAAGACAGGGTTAAAGTGACCGTACCCTTTCCTGTTGGTTAGTGGTAGAGATGCATGTTGTATTAACAGGAAGAAAGTGACAGTGGCTCTAACTTGTTTGGGTGTAAGTCTTTTACACACATTCCTCAACACTTATATCTGACATTTATTCCAAGCACTTTTGGGGCTGTACAGCACGAGTTAGAGGATCAAAGAGTTGGGAAATATTGCATCAAAACATCCAAGCACAGCAGGAAGCTGAAGAGTAGAAAAAGAAAAACACACCAGCATGCTGCCTGACTTTAATGGTGTTAGCTGACACTGACCAGAGGGAGGCAGCAGCTTCACCTTTCATGAAGCGCAGCATCTGACGGCCCCCCACCACCCGCCTCAGGACAGGAGCTGCAGCTGACACTGGAATACAGGCTGAGAAATAACCTGACCCAGTTGTTTAATCACACACACACAGACACACACTGTCATTTTAAGACAGCAAAGCCCCCCTTTATGATGTGTTGTGATTGTGTGCACTGCCAAGTCAGCCATAAAATCACAGTTCTGCACTGCAATACAATTATTAAAAATTCTACAGATGGATGGCGGACACGAGTGCTGATGCATCATTCACAGCTGTGACAAATACAAACACCACCCTTTTTTTCCTGCTAGAAACTGACACTTGGAAATACCAGAACATCATAATATTAGCCTCTTATTTCTGTTCGTAGGGACGATAATGGAAGCTCCTGGCTTAGAAGTGTGCATGAAGTGTATTTTATTTGTTGTATCTTTATTTATAGTCAGTTATTTGCTACTGTAATGACCCAGTATCCCTCTCCTCTGATGTGAAGCACAAAGACACACACACACACACACACACACACACACACACACACACACACACACACACACACACACACACACACACACACACACCACACACACACACACAGACACACACACATTTCTGAGTTCTGAGGCAGTCACAGCCGGGGGAAACGAATCAGCCATAGAAATGATCGCCTATTGATCTGACGAGAAGTTTATATTCTGTAGATGCCTTTGAGGCTCTAAACTAGACATGTCAATATAAATTAAACATTAAATCAATGAGATGAATGTTTCAGGATTGAAAGCTTCTTAGATTTATGCTTAAGAATCATGAATTATGAAAAGTGATTACATGGAGTTAGAATAAGAGTTAGGATCATCAAAGAGGATTATATTGATTACTTTCTTCATGTCACCTACTGTTGGATAAAACAAGAAGAATATCCCATCATGTAGATGAGCAGTTCAGCAAGCATAACAATCCTCATCATCCATGTGGCCTTGCAAGTGATTTGTGGAGGTTGGCAGTCAGGTTAAAGTGTAAATTACAGTAATAATGTTTGTTCATGGGCTTTTATTGCCAATGCAGTAAAGTCGTCTTATTGCTAGAAGGTAGTATGCTGCGGGAAGGTGCGCCCTAAAATAAAAAGACAATGTGTGTATTAGAGCTCCAACAATGGGAAACAAACCCTCTACCTTCTATTATTTACGATGTGAAGTGAGTTCACAGTTAATGCAAATGAGTGAATAGTTTCAGATCTAAAAAAACGTGTTTTCCCAACCAAGATTTGTATTTTCATGACTGACAAAAATGAAATAGATTCATCAGAAAGGATGCCATGCTTTTCTTTTTCTTATTTTCTTTATACCAACTTTATTGTAATGAGCTCTTTATGTGTAAGTGTAACAGCACCCTCTGTTGGCTGTTGTGTGTCGGTACACAGCTGCAGCGCAGTATGACTAAAATGTACTATCGCTGCTGCATGTGAACAGGAGCTGCATTTCAATGTGCTGCCAGTGCATACAGAAGACGTGTGAAGTAACCTCCAAGAATGATTATTTTATGATATCTGAGCTTACCCACTCTGAGTTTACCCACTCATCAGCATCTTTTTCTGCACAGCTTTCAGTGTGATCTGCAAATAGGAATAGGAACTATGTTGCTGTATTATGCGTGAGCTATTGCAAAGTTGCTCCATTGTGCTAAACAGAAAAAAAACACAATAGTGAGTAAGGATTTAGATGTAATGTAATATATGTTTTTTTATAACAGTATGAATGTGACATTTCCATGTATGTATGTATTTCTCTTTCACATTCTGTCTTTAATGTGTGTTTTCAATCACATGGGGATTAATGAAGAGAGCAAAAGGGCTGCGCTGCTCACCATCATGCATAGTATGAGGACAGGCAAATGGATGGAGAGATAAAATGTAAAAAAAAGAGGTGAGCTGGACCATCCATCTAACTATTCCCCCTTGCCTCCCTCTTTTCTGTGTCTATATGGGAGAACAGAGAAATGTGAGCTTTCTATTAGAGGGAGAGGGTGGGGAGATGGAGGGAGGCAGGGAGGGGGGAGGAACACTCGATACGGTGAGACGAGAGGAGAGGAGGAAAGTGAGACAGAGAGGAAGGAAGTGAGAAGAGAGCAGTGCCAGATGAGAGAAAAGTGTGTGGATATATGGAGGGATGGAGGAAGATAGCATCATGTTAGGATTTAGGTGTGTCCTTCTGTGTTAGAGTTTTCATTCATTTCACAGGAGGGGCAGCACTTTCACTCTCACACACACACACGTGCATTTACAACACATTCATTTTTGCTGCGGAGGGACACACTCCCCTCCCTTGTGACTCCAGGGGAAGCGGCAGATTATACAGCTCACACACACACACACACACACACACACACACACACACACACACACACACACACACACACACACACACACACTCTTTCTGTTTTATCATCAGACAAGTCCAGTAAAGCTAATGTGTTTCAGAGTGGACTAGCGACAGAAGGATGCGCCATGAAGGTGAGCTCTCCTTACATTTGTTTAGTTTGTATGCGTGTGTGTGTGTGTGGTGTCACTGGGCTCTCAGCCAAACATTGCTTTGATAAATGTTTGACTGTCATTACTTTGACTATCTATCCATCCATCTATCTATACGTATCTATCCATTTCCATCTTATCTTCTTACCTACTTGTCTGGAGCTGAGAATAATGTAATGTTCTGTAGGGTGTCGAGGAGAAAATGATAATGTTCCTCTCCGGAGGTGTCCGGTGTTCTGACTGTTCTTTGGCTTCAAGTGCTTCACACTCAAGTGGCTTTTCAACTGTGTGAAATATGCGTAGGGAGACTTGAATAGATTCAAGGACCTTTTGTGTTGATGCTCTTCTTGCTTGTTGTGCCTTGTTTCTAATCAGGATTGTGTCTGTTGTGTCACTGATGTTTATATAATGGGAAGTAGCTCACATTTATTTTCACATGTGCATCCCTGCATGTGAGTGCTGGTGCGCACTTCAGTGAATCCTGGAGAAAGTGCTGATGTTGACTGGTGAATATTTCATAAAGTGGCATGTGCTGTTGTACACCAGATGAACATGCTGATAAAATGACACGCCAACCTTAACAACACTGTCAAGTGAAGTGCACCTCTGTTACAATGGGAAGAAAAGAGATTTGATTCCAGACATACACAGTTTGTGGTTTATTAAAAGAGATTCATTCTAGGATGATAAAACAACCAATATTAGCTTTTAGCAATAAAATACAGAAATGTGATTTATAAGAAACAAGGTTGAAATAGTGGGGTATATGTTCACTAATAGTAAACAAGAAATTGCACTACAGAAATGCCAAAGTTGATTTAATAGTATTTTTTGGAAACTGTGTTTCCACGACTGTCCACCAGATAGCACTGACAAGCTGATTTTTTAAAGTAAAATGTCTGGCTCAGGACATATTTTAGTCAGTTCTTTGATGAAAACGTTTTTTATGGTTCTTAATCATTCATTTTATGTTTATATTACATGTAATATGATAATCAGATTCCTTTAAAACAGGGCTCTCCAACACGTCGATCGCGAGCTACCGGTAGCTCGCGGGCAGCTTTTCAGTAGCTCGCCGCTCGATTATCGATTATAGCGTAGTAAGGTTGCTTATTGATTTTTCGGCCGCGGTTGGACAATAACGTTTTTTTATTTTAGATTTTTTTCTGTCACACGAATATCAAATGGTCGGTGACGCAGAGATCAAGGAACAGACGTGACAGCAGCACAGCGACAACACACACGGAGCAGTCTGCTTTCTCCACCAGCACCAGTCCAGAACCAACAGCAGAATGACCCGCTCTGAATCAGGCCCTGTCGCTGCGCCTCAGAGACACACAGGGAGGGATTTGTGTTTTTTGAAAAACACTCGTTATCGTCATGTCACGTTTTTGGTGGATTTAATCAAGTCTTGGATTGCAGAGTATGAATGTCCTCTTGCTATTTTCAGTTGATAAATACTTGTGTAAAGTTTGTGAAGGCAGGAGGAAAGCTTCCGCGATCACCGTCTCCTCTCCGTTCCTCCAAACCCCGCCCCCTCCCTGAAAATAATGAGTGACAGGCTGATAGTGACCCGATAGAAACTTTATATATTCACTTAATCACTGATTGAGATATGATGAAGCTAACTTAATCTCATACATTCATGGGATTTATGTAACAGTAAGACAGAGAATGTAAGTGTGCACCCACATGCACTATTTTTGTTTTTATAATGCTATTGTAAATACTCCTGCTGTTTTCAGACTCAAGTCATGTGTGTCTTTTTTTTAACAGAAGACCGTAGCTAGAAGCTGCAGCTAGACTGCAGAAGTATTAGTTTTTTGTTTTTGAGGATGGAACCATTTTCACACACAGATATAGGGAGGCTAGACCTATACAATTGATTTATTATGGTTTATAATTTAATGTCAAGACGAAGAAGAAGAAGAAAAAGATGGCTGAACAACTGTTCAGTGTCAATCCTGTGGAGATCTCCAAAATAATGTTCAGCTTAAGTCTCAGCAAAACTCACAACATTTCTGGAGCCTTGTAGACCCAGAAAACTATAAGAACATTCACCAAGCAGCACTGAAAATGTCTGCTTTATTTGGTTCTGTTCTACATACCTTTGTGAAGCAGCTTTTTCTGACATGAATGAAATCTAAATACAGAACAAGACCGACTGATGAACATTTAAATGACTCTATTAAGTGAACCTAAGTGGGTCCAGCATACACCTCTATGGTGGACTGTATGCAGTGCCATTAATCTCACTAACAAAAGAGTGAAATGCTTGTAAGGTGGTGATTAAGGACACTTATGTGAATGTTCAGTGATGTACTTATTATGTGGGCCATAATAATATGTGAGAAATCACACGTTTTCTTGGACCTTATTTTTGATAAGCTTTAGGTATTGCAATTTCACACGTGTACAAAAGTATAGCTTAATTCAACTGATGAGGGCTATGTGAATAAATGTAAGCGATGTGATGCAAGTAGCTCTTGGCCACTTTCATTTTTTGAAAGTAGCTCTCAGATGAAGAAAGGTTGGAGACCCCTGCTTTAAAAACTGTTTCAATCAAGTGTCTAGTAAGAAAAAGCTTACAACAAGTCAGGTACCTTATAAACTGCTGCAGCTGCATACAAAAATATTTATGAATTGATTTCACTTTGGGTAATAATAACACAACTTTCCAAAATATGAAATATCCCTTTAACTGAATACAGGAGTTGTAAATTCATTGCACACGTCACCACAGCATGTCTGAGGAGGACAGCCAGTCCCTCCTCACTGTAAAGTGACGCAGGAGTATTTCTGTAACTGTTTTCCACTGTCATTTTATCCACAAGATGATCAATGACAAATCATCTCTAGACCTTTACACCAAGGTTTTCCCTTTACTATTGCTCCTTCTTCCCCTCTGTGTTCCCCTCTGATTCCTCCTCATCGTCTCTGTGTTCTAGTCCCATCAGTCTTTCATGATGTGTGCACACAGCACTGCCTTACAAGTGGGCTGCAGACAAAATGAGCTGTCCAAGTCCGACCTGCTCAGACTGACTATCAGTGGGGAGGACTGGAGGAAAAAGTGGGGGGTGTGATGTGAATGGAGGAAGAGATGAACAAGTAGGGTTAGGAGAGAACTATAAATACAACACTGTAGAGAAGGGAACAGGAAGTGGTGAAAAGCAGATTAGAGACAGAAGAGGTGGCTTTAGTATTCCTGCTCGCAGACAGCATCAATATGCTATGTGACACACATGATGCACACAGACAAACAGACCCTGAAGCCCATCAGACCATCAGACCATAGTGCAAAGAGCCAGCAGGAGAGCCCAAAACACCTCAAAGTGTATCCATGGCAACTGAACCTCTGGCTCCCTGCACTGTTTGTCAAAAACAAAGGGACAGACAAAAGAGGGAGAGAGTGTACACTGGACGTGATATCTATTCAATGCTGGGTCATTTCTGGTGAGCCCTCTTGTAAAAGGTTTGTTTACACTGAAGGATAGAGCTTTAGATTCAGGGATATTTTCTCAGTGACTGTTATCTGTAGAGACTGATAGGTTACTCTTCACTCGACTCTCCCTGTCTGGCTTTACCTGTTGCATCCATCAAACTACACACTAATGATGCAAAACTGACTGATGTTTACTAAAGAAAGTAAGTGCATTTCTATTACAAAATGTATTGTACATACAGAACCACACAATGGATAACCTGCAATAGTCAGTAATGTACTTAAAAGCCTTAGTTAATCCCTCCAAAGTACATATTATGTCAATGAAAATGTCAGTGCAATCCAGTGACAAGTTCTTCACGTCATTGTTCACAAATAAGTCAAAATGCTTGGTTGTGTTGTAGTAGTACAGCGTGTACTCTGAGTGTTTTCTGATAAAAGCTATAGATAAAGTTGTGATGACAATAATTGAAAAAGCACAAGGCTGGAGATTTTTTGCAAGGCATTTTTCATTTCATTGCAACACAGAAAAGGAAAATAGCTGTTTTACAGCTCTGCTTAGCACAAAAGGAAAAATAGTAGTCGTAACCAGAGGCGAGCTATTGTCAAGAAATAATATAAAATCCTTGGACTTACAGTATCAAAGTCTGATCCAGGCATATGGAGATATTTGGTTTAACCTGGGTTGATTGCTGATGGAGGAGCATGCAATTGACTGCCTTGTAACGACAATATTTCTCTTTGTTTTGTATGACCTATGTTGAAAGTGTGTTTGTTGAGAGGTGGAGGAGTTAGGTAAGTCTGGGGTACCCTGTACACTTCTCATCACGTAGATAACTAATGTTAAGACACACTAGGTTAGCGGATTGTTGCCACCCCTGTATTGTTTTTGTCCAATTCTTAGTAGTTTAGTTAGTGAGGGTTTTTGTTTGAGTTTTGGTTTCAAAGGATAGACGTAGAGATAGGCCTGGTTTTGTTATGCTTGTTTCTTTTGTTTGGCACAATCCTTCGACTCCTCCTCCTCACACACAGAGCATTTCTGTAAGGTTCTGTTCAGTTTTCTAGGTTTACAAGAATAAACCTTTTGTCAAACCTTTACGCTGACTCTCATATTATTGGTTGTTGTGTGTTAATGTCTCCAGGTCCCCTAGACCTTAGTGGGGACGTAACACAAATGGAGCTTTTGTGATTCATTTTCCGCGTCTCTATTGAATTCAAACTGAAGTATTTGAGCTGATATATGCCATGTATGAATTGTTTGTCTCTGGGCTATACAAAAACAAAATTACATAGCTGTACAATAAAGTATTACTTCAACCATTGCGAAATATCAAACCAAAAATTACATTATTACAGAAACATAACCCAGGATTAACAATAAATGAGTCTGTTGAAGATAATCACTAACAAACGTTTCAATGTATGTGCCTTTTACTCTGCAGGAAGTTTGACTTGCAGATCCAGATGTTTTTTTAGGCAATCAAAACCACTGAACATTCTTTTGTTTTCTTTAATAATCATCACAAAAACAGGGTAATTT